ATCGCGCCACATTCCCGGGGGAAGACGACCGTCCGATCCAATCTAATCGAGACGATCTTTTTTAGGTGTCACTCACGTCCACAGCTGTGATAATATACTCCCATACTCCACGACACATGCGCAAATCGGGGTCAAATTTGATGCCAAAAAAAAAAATTCGGAGTCAATGTCTTGGCTTGCTCGAACCATGGTGGGATCTTCTGGGGACTGGAGCTCTGCAGCGGAGCCTCCCCCCAGGGCTCCCACCAAACGTGCGCTGCTGTTTTTAATTATTATTACTTTTGCAGCTCAATGATGTTTTGCACGTGTTTCGGGCATTGATCGTCTCAAGATGCACATGGCACTCCAAATTTCAATAAATTATATGCATAAGTTTAGCTATACAAGGAGTATTATGTAAGCCATCATTTATTAAGATGTATTCCCTCCGTCTCAAAATTCTTGTCTTAAATTTGTCTAAATACGAATGTACCAAGAGTAGATTCATTTTACCTTGGGGTGCGTTATGTTATGTTACTCCAAACATATTTGTCCTCATTAACTACATGCCACATAAGCAAAGTTTTCTTGGGGTGTATTATGTTACTTGCTAAGTTACTCCCATTATGACTAGCCTTAGGGCATCTTCAACGGAGACCCGCAAAAAATCTCCCGCATCCATTTGTGGACAAGGAGATCAGTCCACGGACACGAATGCGGGGGCAGCAATGGCTGCATACATTTCAAACTACATTTTAACAAACTAAACGAAATTAAAGTAAAATCGGTCGATGTTCATCAAAGTTCGAATAGAATAACACAAATCATCCACATATAGCATGCAAATTAAGTCTATTACAACAAGATCTCAAATTCGACTAGATCCCGGATGACCAATAAGTTTTTCATGAACGGACCATGTCCTCCCACACATACTTCTCCTTCAGCTTCATCCAACGGTGTGTGCACGTAAATGGTCGTCCCTCTGGCCTGTGGTACACCACTGCGGCGCGTGCGGGCTACATATAATATGTAAATCAACATTGAATGAATCAATCAATCAATAAGGCCCCGTTCGGTATGGAGTTGAAGAAACTACAGGAACAATAGAGGATGCAGGAATGCTACTGGAATACAATGCTAAAACATTGGAATCAGAAATTATGGTGAAGATATGAGATTTGGTGTTCGGATTGCAGGAAAGAGAAACAAAGGAACGTGTGGACCCTAGTCACAAAAGGTAGTGCAGAACTCATTATTCTATCCTTGTGCATGTCACTTTGTACAGCTATGGGCATTTAAACCGAGTCAGTACAGGCACACATGCTGCTTTCCTTTGCATGGCCTCGGGACTCCGCCCAGAAAATGAGAATCGGGTGGATTCTTTTTTTCCTGTGAAACTGAGGGCTGTGGAGCCTTTCCTGTGTAATCTCTCCCTGCCAATCCTGCATACCGAACGACGCTTTGTCGAACTTTCCTCTGGTTCTGAATTCCTATAGTTTCCCTGTAAAATTCCTACATACCGAACACAGCCTAAGTTGAGCAAGAGGAAGTAAAACTTACTATCTCCTCCATGTCCGCGCGCAATGGCCACCTTGCCTCGAGCTGACTAACCAAGTTGCAAAACTTGATGACGCTGACCTCGATAGCGCGCCAGTGATACGACAACGACCTCACGTTGTGTCGCTGAATAATGTACATGTCGTAGGGATTAATGTGCTTTCCTGCATGAAACTTTTCATGCGCTTCCTCCCAGAAGGGCAGCCCTCTGGCCCTGCTATGAAATTCACGGATACAGCCAACCATGCATCGCACAACAAATCATCCTCCATGATCGAGTAGCTCACCATCCTTCGTACTCTAAAAACACGACATAGCATTTGAAAATAAGCTCAATGACATTTGACCGAACATCTGCTGGGCGTGGTGTCCGCTGTGGAGATCGTCCGAAGGGGGCGGAGTGTACCAGGTACGAACGGAACTCCGTCGGAACGGTGAGCGGGCACGTCGATGCTAGGTGCGAACGTCCGGCAATGCCTCTGTGGCGGCCGGAGACGAACAATAGCGATGGCAGAGGTGGAGGGTGCAGATGCAAAGTAAGGGGGAGAAAGGGCGTAGTGGAAGGAAATGGGACCGGGAGGAGGGATTCGATGGGCGGGGGGTGTCGGCGTCCTACGTTTCGAGTGTCAGACTCCCGCAACCTTTCATACTTTTGTCTCTATTTTGCGGGAGAAATCGCATCCGGACCGCCCCGCGACCGATACAGGTCGGCGTTGGATGGCTTCCAGGTCCGGACAATGTGGTTCGAACGGTTATGGGAGGTTTACGGGTCCGGCTTCAAGATGCCCTTACTTATTGTCAGTGATTACTAGTAATCCCAAAAAGAAACTTAATGCTACCGAATTTTTTGTGCAGCATTACTATTTTTGGCGCTCATTGTACATGGTACTCCTTGTAGGTTGTTCGTGCCTGCATGGAACACGCACAAATGCATTTGTGAAGTGTATAACCAAAGGCATCTTTTTACCCTTGCTTTCTTCTTCTCCCTCTCTGTTGTCAAGGAAACGTGTTGATGATCGGGTGATTCCCATGCAAGTGTGCACAACACTCCCATGACATGGTCGTCATGTCAATGATTGTCTCGTCTTTCTTTCGGTGAATCTTCACTCCCGGGAAGGAAAATAAAATACAATTACCGTCACATCGCAAGCTCTTTTAAAGGAGATCACAACTTATCAGCATTGCAATCATGGAGCATCCACCGATCCACGATAAAACAAAACAAGGTTTCGTGGAAAGCCAAAAATGTAACAGCGTGGAAGGACCACCCATGTCCGCCGCAGGGAGGACTTGCCGTATGCTTCAAAGGCAGCTAATGTGAGGACGGGGCGTCGACTCATTGGCCGGGCAGTTGAGATTGTTGCCAGCCCACCCGAGTTCAAGTCCCGGTTTGGACGTATGGACCGAGTCGGCGACGGCGACGCCTTTGGGCGCCGCTTCCTGTTGTGGGCATCATTTTGAGATTGCTTCCCCTCTCCCTAGCTCAGTGTTGTTGTTGTGTCTTTCTCTTCTTGAAGACATCCTCTCGTAGCGGATAGGATGACAAAACCGATGGCGGCTTGCTTCGCGTGGGTTTGAGGGGTGGCTGCTCTCCTTCTTTTGGTGTGGCGTCTAGTTGGCAACGATAATGGTGTTGATATGTGACGGGCATGAGGGAATTTGTTATCAGTTCTTTCCAACGTGTTCGGCGGATTTCCTCTATCTCGTTGTGTGGTTGCGGATTCGGAGCTGCATGAGAGGAACCTAGGCGGTGATGATGACATGTAATCAATGGTGTTCGAGGGAAGTCCTGGTCGACGGGACCCTACATTTTTCTTCCGAGTGAGTCCGTCTTCCGAGTTTGAGTTGTCTTGTCGCTATTGCTGGGGCGTCTGTTTGGCATAGATGAATGCATGTTTTTGTGAAGTTATTGCAGCAAGGGCACTATTGCTCGTTGTTTGCGGTGAGGTCAAAGTCGCTCGCTCTGGGAGGAGTGGTGGCGATGACATGTGCAGTCAACCTCGACAAGGGTCCCCTCCTCGACGGCATGTATGTGTTTTGTGTTCATAGTCAGGCCGACGGGGGGTCGTGCCCCTTTGTGAGCATTTATAGTAATTTTCGTCTGCTTTTTTCGTAAATAACATAACAACTATCTTCTTCGTAATGAATGAGATAATGTAAATCTTTGGTCTCCGCTAAATAATAATAATAATTTTGATCTTTATTTCATTTTTGAAGTAATGATTTTTTTTCTTTCAGCTTAATGATTTGAGTGAGACGATTTGCCTTAAAATTATGTAATAAAGGTTCACATACATTGGAATGAAGAAGACAAGAGATACATTGAAGGGAATGACAAGAAGTGATATAACAGCGCAGCATGAAAAGAAAAATGACGTCCTAATTTTCCAGTAAGCTAAGTCCTTTTGCAAACCATGCACGTGAATTTCCTCATTTGCAGTATAACATAATCTTCTTAGTATTGTTTAAATTTTTTTCCTCTTCATTAATTGCTCACACTGCTTGCTACTCATTTCTTGCAATATCCATTTTGTCCCTTATTGCACCTGCAAAACAATGCGCGATAAATATATTCTCATAACATAACTTCATAAGCATTTTATTTCTAAAAAACCTTCATAAATACCTCGGGAAATTCAACGTCATTTTGACATGCAACATAAGTATTTCCTTGTAAAATTATCGATCCATGCCATCCGAAGCAGCATTGTTTCTTGGACTAGATACACCCAAAAAGGTACATTGGCTATTTAGTTGGATTTGCTAGCCGGCTTGTCGAGTTTCAACAACTTCGCTTCCTTTCATGGATGCTCAGACAAAACGGTCTCTCGATAATTTATCAGCGCGCGGTCAACCGACAAAAAACTCGACTAGAAAACAAGAGTGGCTTTGCAGTCACATAGTCCTGGGCAAAAATGCCAGAATGTCGATGGTTGGTTCAAAGATGCACTAAATTCCATTTCTAAAAAACAAACTACAATCTAAAAAAACGAAGGAAAGAAAAAGATGCACTAAAATCCATTGGTACGTTTTCTCCAAAAAAAAAAGAAGAGAGATTTTTTTCAAACAAAATCATAAAAACGCCCACCAACCAAAGGAAAAACGCCCGAAATACAACAGTGACGCGCCGGCGTCAGACCCACGCGCGCACGCACCCACTGCCATGCGGGCCCCAGCCGCGCCCATCCACGCAGTTGCGTTGCGGCTCGCGCAGCCAGGGGCCGCGATACGTAGGCAGGCAGGCTCCCTCCCCGCACGAGCGAAAAGGCCACAGCAACGGTCACAGATTGGGCTCCGTCTCTCTCTCTCGCCATCTCTCTCACTGGCCAACGCCAGCCAAATCTTCGCTTCCCAAAGCTCCCCCCCTCCCTTCCCCATACCGCCACTCCCCTCCCCGCTTCGCCATCAAGCCTGCTCCACGCGGCGGCCCCGATTGAGCCCGCCGCCGCCGAGCGCGCGACATGGGCGCCGCCGACAACAACGCCGTACGTTTCTTCCTTCCTTCATCCGCCCACCCGGAAAGATCGCGCCTGGTTTAATTCCGGGCGATACGCCGCCGGCTGTCTCTGAGTTTGCTTGCTTCCGTGTTGTTTCTCGTGGCGTGTGTGTGTGCAGGCGCCGCGGCAGGGGCAGCAGCCGGATGGGGGCCGAGGGCGGGCGCCGGCGCCGGGGCAGCGGGAGGTGAAGGTGGTGGTCATGGACGAGCCTGCGGCGGCCGTGTCGAGGCTGCAGGCGCAGCGGCCCGTGGCGCCGCTGCAGGTCACCACGCAGGCGCCGCCGCCGCCCATGTCGGTGGCCTCCGGCGGCGAGGACCCGCCGCCGCCCGCGGCGGCCTACCCGCCGCTCATGCAGCAGACCCCACCACAGGTACGACCCGTCCCCCGAATCCCAATTACTAAAATGCCCAATTGACCGCTCGTTTTGCCCATCAAATCTCCAATTCGATTTCTTGTCAAATTATCTTGCACAAATAGTCAATAGATAGATAGGCTCCGGTCTTTCTAGGGCATGTGCGCCTGTGCGGAGTGCGATCGACAGTCAGCCGTCCCAGCACAGCAGCAGTCTGGTTGGTACGCGGGTACTCCCCACAATAATTCCGCTTGCCACTCTTGGGTCGGCATTGCAATGTGCACAGGCACAGCCCCGTACCCCTCACCTACTTGACATTTTCGCGTAACAAATTGTGCGTTTGGGTTGAATCATGCAGTGCTACATTGACACCATCTCTTCTTTTTTTTTCCAAACAAAGTCTCGGTTCTAGTTTGATGCCGACAGTTGCACTTGATTTCTCTTTAGAACAAGCAGAACACTGTTTTTTATTTGAAAGGCAGTTGATGACATGCTGTAGGTTGAGATATTTCGATTAGTGTGTTATCACTGTAGAAGCACAGCAACAACCAAATAATTCATCACCGATTGGAGCAGTCCTTTAACAAAGCTCAAACGACCATCCTCCTACCTAGAGTGAGTACAAGAGGATGGGTAATGGGGAGGGGGTTGTAGTGTTTGAGACGATTTGTTTTTGCTAATCAAAGCAATGCCGCCTAACGTGTCACTTTAGTTAATCTACTCACGGGTAACTTAAGCGTTAAAAGGCCTCTTAAAATATCCACCTAGAATGTACCACGAATCGAATCGAATCGAATCTTGGTAGTATGATCTTGATTAAAATATCGAATATTCCATAGGCGCCCAACCTCCTACCCGTTAGCCTAGCCTAAAGTAGCTAGCTAATGACTTTACTAATCCAACTGGTCTCGAGTTAACTGGTTGTTTAATTCGTTGCAGCCACTGGCGTCGCTCAACTCGCGCGTGTACACCAACCAGATCACGCTGTGCCTCTTCCTGCTGCAGCTGGCGGCGGCGGGGCTTGCCGTCGGCTTCTTCGTGTACCGGGCCGTCAAGGACATCGTGCAGGACCCGCGGTCCCGCAATGCGCGGCGCGAGCAGAGCCTGCTCCGCCAGTGGCTGCCCCCCGTGGAGGGCGCCGTGGCGCTCAGCATTCTGCTGGCGTTCGCGTGGCAGAAGGCGGTGCGCGCGTGGCCGCGCGCCATGGTGACCGTCATCCTCTGGTCGGCCTTCGGCGTCACGCTCGCCGTCGGCTCCCTGCTCATGTGCTTCTCCATGCCGGCCACCGTGGGGCTCGGCGTGGCCTTGGTGGTGTTCTCCATCGGCACCGGGCTGTACGCGTGCTGGGTGACCCGCCGCGTCGGGTTCACGGCGCGGGTGTTCGAGAAGGCGGTGCAGCCCGTGGACAAGTTCCGCGGCCTCAACGGGCCGGCGTACCTCATGGTGGCCGCCGGGTTCGTGTGGATCTCCGTGTGGTGCGTGGCCGTCATCGGCGCCGTCAACTTCCGGTTCCCCGGCCTGACCATCCTGGCGCTGGTGGTGAGCCTGGCGTGGACCGCCGAGGTGATGCGCAACGTGGCGAACCTGACGGCCAGCCGGGTGATCGCGCTCTACTACCTCCGCGGCATGCAGTCCAGCGTGCAGTTCAGCTTCCAGCGCGCGCTGTCGTACAACCTCGGCAGCGCCTGCCTCGGCTCGCTCTTCGTGCCCACCATCGAGGCCCTCCGCATCCTCGCCCGCGGGCTCAACCTGCTGGAGGGCGAGGACGAGTTCATGTTCTCCTGCGCGCACTGCTGCCTCAACGTCATGAACGCCGTGTTCGAGTTCGGCAACAGCTGGGCATTCGTCCATGTAAGCGAAGCCAGCGATCTTCACTCCGCTTCCAATCATCATCATCCTCCTCTAGCTGACAAGATTAGTTGTGAAACTGATGGTGCAGATCGCGGCGTACGGGAGGGGGTTCGTGCAGGCGTCGCGGAGCACGTGGAACCAGTTCGAGGGGCAGCCGGGGATGCCGGCGCTGGCGGACGCGGACATCACGAGCTCAGTGTGCTTCCTGACGGGGGTGACCAGCGGCGCGCTGTGCGTGGCGCTGGCCGGGTCGTGGACCTTCGTGACGCACAAGCACTACACGGCCACGGTGTCGCTCATGGCGTTCTACGTGGGGTACCTGATGACCCGGATCGGCATGGCGCTGCCGCAGGCGTGCGTGGGCTGCTACTACGTGTGCTACGCCGAGAACCCCCGCTCCCGGCTCTTCGAGGACAGCCCCATAGGGGAGCGGCTGAATAAGATGGAGGAGGACGGGCAGGACGCCGTCGGGGTCGCGCCCACCCCGCGGTTCCCGCACCAGCACGTCAGCGCCGCCTGACCCCGGCCGCCGCCGCCGCCGCCGTGTACAGGCAAGAACATGTTGGCCCAAGAACCGGATCGTGCGATGTCATTCCATAGCTGCTGGTGCTGGCCGAGTTGACCGGCGGCGGCGTCGCGTGAAAGGAAGGATGATCGGAGAAGGGATGTCGTATGACCCATGCAGCGAGTCGTAGTACTCACGCTGTCGAGCCTTATGGACTGAGGAGCATGGGTTGATGTTGTCCTCTGGTGTCTAAAATAGTACTAGGGCCAACTCTTTTTGACTTTTCTGTAAATTCCTCCATTTTTTTGGGCATGTGTTTTCAGCTGTTATTAGTGGTAGCAGAAGCCTGGGCATTTCATCTTTCAGGTATATTTATTTATTCGTCTAGCAAAAACTGTCACCGTGATTACAAGGATGGCATGTGAATATTTTCTTGTAAGATCATCTTTTTAGTGTGTTCATCAGATGGCAAGCGGGGGTGTTGGCTGATCCTTGTTGTGATGCTATTGCTTACTGCTTAGAGCATCTGAAATTCTGGACAGAACATGACGAGGAACTGGACCGGGATAGTTGTTGAGGGGCGTAGAACATCTGAAGTTACGAACAGAGCATGGTACTAGTCGACAGCCACGACTGATGAGTGGCATTAACGATTCTGCACAGGTCGGTTTACGCAATAATGATGCGTGGAACACAGCGCGGTAGGTGAATAGTACATACTCCGAATGTTACGTCTAGATTTTTTATTTATTTTTTGGTTCTGTTTGCTTACGAGGGCAGTGAGATGATCATGGGAAAGAAGAAAAAAAAACAGGAATGTTAACTCATCAGAGCATGCTGAGGGCATCTACAATGCAAAGGTGCTTGTATGGGCGCTTAGACAATAGAAAGAATTAACGGCGAGTCTACCTAGCGGCCGGCTGCTCGCTGGGCATCGTGAGCGGCCGGCCTGAAATAGAATTTTGTTGTCCCTAATCTATAAATGGTAATAATTTATTCCCTCTAATCAATATAAGAAAAATAATTTTAATTCATATATTAGAAAAAGTACACGTAACAGAAAAGTTTTATAAAAATATCCATGTAGATAAATGTGAACGCATTTAATTTGAGTTTTTAAATTTTTTAAAAAATCATAACTTTCAAACTACGCGTCGTAAGATCCGTTTTCATCGTTGGAACCTTCGCGGCGTGTTCTTCAAAACTAGATCCCGCATGGTTATGTTTCGACAAACTTTTTAGTGTGCAATTTAGTCTCCATTTGGTGCAACTGTTTAGCCTCGATGTGCAACTAGCTGACAGTCGAGGTGCAACTTTTTCTCTAACTGTGGACATGCAGTTTTCACTAATGGCATCACCCCATACTACTTTCTAACAGTGAAATGTGCAATTTCATCTGTTGCCCCGGTGCCCTGGCCAACTGCTTGATAGTCGTCGTGCGTGTGCAGCCCACACAACCGTGTTTGAGAGACTATCCTATAAGAATGTGCCAACTCCACGGCTACGCATGTGCGACTATGCACGAGAGTGTGCAACTCCGCGGCCGGACGTGAGCACCTCCCACAATAATTCATGTGTGACTATGCAGACGAGATTGTGCAACTCCACGGCCACACATGTGCGACTATGCACAAGAGTGTACAACTTCGCGCCCGGGCATGAGCACGTCCCACAACAATTCGTGTGAGACTACGCGAGCGAGATTGTGCAACTCTGCTGTCACGCGTGTGCGACTATGCCGACGAGAGTGTACAACTCCATAGTCATACGTGAGCTACTACGATGATAAGAGTGTGCAACTCCATGGTCGTGCGCATGCGACTATGCCGCCACATGTGTGCAACTCTCGTAGTCATGCTTGAGCTATTATGCCGACTAGAGTGTGTATGTTCGTTGTCGTGCGTGCGCGACTATACCGACAAGACTATGCAACTCCGTGCTCATGCGTGCGACAGTGTTCCAGTGTGCATCAGTACTTGATCGATCTTACAATGTCGCCCGTCTAGCTATATTTCAGTAAGAAATGTAAGCACGAGACATCATTTAACCATCTTTGTATTGTCGTGTTGTGCAACTTTTGAATGATCGTATCCAACTGCGAACTACTATGTGTGCAACTACAACTACTACGCATGCCAACTATGTCGACAAGAGTGTGCAACCACCACAATCATGCATGGGCTATTATGTCGATAAGAGTGCGCAACTCCTTCGCCGCGCGTGTGCGACTACTCTACCGCGTGTGAACAACTCTCGTAGTCGTATGTGAGCTACTATGTCGGTAGGTGTGTGCAACTCCACAGCCGTACGTGTGCGGCTATGCCGCTATACATGTGCATATAACATCTACGCATAAAACCTAGGTTCTGATACCATTATTGGGGAACGTAGTAATTTCAAAAAAATTCCTACGCACACGCAAGATCATGGTGATGCATAGCAACGAGAGGGGAGAGTGTGTCCACGTACCCTCGTAGACCGAAAGCGCAAGCGTTAGAACAACGCGGTTGATGTAGTCGTACGTCTTCACGGCCCAACCGATCAAGCACCAAAACTACGGCACCTCCGAGTTCTAGCACACGTTCAACTCGATGACGTCCCTCGAACTCCGATCCAGTCGAGTGTCGAGGGAGAGTTCCGTCAGCACGACAGTGTGGTGATGATCTTGATGTTCTACCGTCGCAGGGCTTCGCCTAAGCACCACTACAATATTATCGAGGAGGAATATGGTGGAGGGGGGCACCGCACACGACTAAGAGATCAATGATCAATTGTTGTGCCTAGAGGTGCCCCCCTGCCCCGTATATAAAGGTTCAAGGGGGAGGGGGCGGCCGTCCAGGAGGAGGGCGCGCCAAGGGGAGTCCTACTCCCACCGGGAGTAGGACTCCCTCCTTTCCTTGTCCAAGTAGGAGAGGGGGAAGGAAGGGAGAGAGGGGAGGAAGGAAAGGGGGGGCGCCTCCCCCCTCCTTGTCCAATTCGGACTAGAGGGAAGGGGGTTCGCGGCCTGCCCTGGCCACCCCTCCTCTTCTCCACTTTGGGCCCAAGTGGCCCATTAACCCCCCGGGGGGTTCCGGTAACCCCCCGGTTCTCCGGTATATATCCAATAACCCCCGAAACTTATTTCGGTGTCCGAATATAGTCGTCCAATATACCAATCTTCATGTCTCAACCATTTCGAGACTCCTCATCGTGTCCGTGATCATATCCGGGACTTCGAACAATCTCGGTACATCAAAACTCATAATATAACTGTCATCGAAACCTTGAGCGTGCGGACCCTACGGGTTCGAGAACAATGTAGACATGACCGAGAACTGTTTCCGGTCAATAACCAATAGCGGAACCTGGATGCTCATATTGGCTCCTACATATTCTACGAAGATCTTTTATCGGTCAAACCGCATAACAACATACGTTGTTCCTTTTGTCATCGGTATGTTACTTGCCCGAGATTTGATCGTCGGTATCTTAATACCTAGTTCAATCTCGTTACCGGCAAGTCTCTTTACTCATTACGTAATGCATCATTCCATAACTAACTAATTAGCTACATTGCTTGCAAGGCTTATAGTGATGTGCATTACCGAGAGGGCCCCAGAGATACCTCTCCGACAATCGGAGTGACAAATCCTAATCTCGAAATACGCCAACCCAACATGTACCTTCGGAGACACCTGTAGAGCTCCTTTATAATCACCCAGTTATGTTGTGATGTTTGGTAGCACACAAAGTGTTCCTCCGGTAAACGGGAGTTGCATAATCTCATAGTTGTAGGAACATGTATAAGTCATGAAGAAAGCAATAGCAACATACTAAACGATCAAGTGCTAAGCTAGCGGAATGGGTCAAGTCAATCACATCATTCTCTCAATGATGTGATCCCGTTAATCAAATGACAACTCTTTTGTCCATGGCTAGGAAACATAACCATCTTTGATAAACGAGCTAGTCAAGTAGAGGCATACTAGTGACACTCAGTTTGTCTATGTATTCACACATGTATCATGTTTCCGGCTAATATAATTCTAGCATGAATAATAAACATTTATCATGATATGAGGAAATAAATAATAACTTTATTATTGCCTCTAGGGCATATTTCCTTCAGTATCATCGTATTCAGGGAACTCATGGCCAGGATAGCTATCGTCGTCCTCTTCTTCTTCATTGTCTTCCATCATAACTCCTCTTTCTCCGTGCTTGGTCCAAACATTATAGTGGGACATGAAACCAAACTCAAACAGGTGGACGTGAATGGTTCTTGAGTTAGAGTAATTGTGATCATTCTTACAACCAGTACATGGACAAGGCATAAAACCATCCGCCCGCTTGTTTGCCTTAGCCGCAATCAGAAAAGTATGCACGCCATCAATGAACTGGGGAGAGCATCGGTCATCGTACATCCATTACCGGCGCATCTTCATTACACACCACCGAATAGACCAAATTAATACAAGTTCATACATAAAGTTCATACAACACTTAAATGCAACATACAAATAACTCTCTAGCTGAAGCATTTAAATGCAAAAACAAATGTGATCAAGACCGCAACTAAGGTAACAATTGATCCAACAGCATAATGATACCAAGCCTCACTATCAATGGCATATTTTCTAATCTTTCTAATCTTCAACCGCATTTTCTCCATCTTGATCTTGTGATCATCGACGACATCGACAACATGCAACTCCAATTCCATCTTCTTCCCCTCAATTGTTTTCAATTTTTCTTTCAAATACTTGTTTTCTCTTTCAACTAAATTTAACCTCTCGACAATAGGGTCGGTTGGAATTTCCGGTTCACATACCTCCTAGATAAAAATATCTATGTCAACTTGATGGGCATAATTTGTCATAAACACGAGGATGAGGGCCGACGGGGACGGATATCAAAACCATGGCACTATGTATAACAAACAACGTATGGGTAAGATAATTATAGAAGTAATTAACTATATATCTAAATCACACAAACATGATTTTTTATATAAAAAAGATAAGAACAAGAGGCTC